AAGTAAAAAAGCAACAGAAACCACGAAGCAATATTAGTATACAATATTATGCTCACATCCTGCACCAAGTATTTATAATTACCACTACTTGTATACTAAAGCTAGCAGTTACATAGTTACAAACTATGTCAAGGCATGCAAGTCGTCCATGTGAAATGGACTGTCCATGCTGAGATAGATAGACAGATTTTAGTTAAGACATTATTGAGACATTGCAATTTGTTGCTTCACTCGTAATGATAAATAAAATAATCTCTTAAATGATGTTTTCCCAATCTTGGTAAAGCGAAAGGTGTGGTTTAAGTGTGGGAGAGCCATGCTTCGGCTCGAATGGGTCGGCTCGACCGGAGTGATACCACGGCCTCACAGAAGACCGACGTGAAACAACCACAGCGTTGTGTTTCACCGTGTGAGTGAGGTTACCGGAGGCCCAATCCTTCCCCGCCCCCAATCCCTCCTCAATCCCTAAATCTCCAAATCCCTAATCCCTAAAAGGTCGGCAACGCACTCGTAACTCCTCCGTTGCGGGTGTCCATGGGCGGCGCTGATTGCTTACCATCAGGTAATCCGTCTGCTCATTTGCCGACCAAATGCATAAAAAAAAAAGGTAATGTCAGTCTTACTGGGTAAAAATCATCACTTTTCTTCTCCTTCGGGGCTGCTGGTATATTATTGCAATGCACGTAACCCCGGCTAAACATTGCTCTATCGGTATAACAAATTAACTCGGATGATATAAAAATAATGTGTAATTAGTATTTAACTTCGTTTCTTTGTCTTTGGCTTAAACTCGTGACTATAGATGTATACGCCTATATACACAACAAGAATTAAACACTATCGTTATATATATCTTCTAAATGTAGAGTATCCGTGAAAATGAGAACGAAAATAAAAATACTCTCTTCCCAAAGTCCAACATATTTTTTTTAGACCAAGCCTTTAAAAATAGATAGATATCTTTGCTCGACAGAAAACGTTTAAAACCATTTAATCTAAATTACTTATTTACTTATTAATATTTATTATTCACCAGTCTTCTATATCGCTTTAGGTTCCACATTTTATTAAAATTAAAATTATTAAAATTATTGCCCCTCATTAGGATTTTCTCCTGTGTCGTGGGTGCGGTTACAAAGATACAATTTCACACGCACATGCCACTCAGACCCGGAACAACAATTTGTGGGTCACACAAAGAGTTGTTCCGTGCGGGGATCGAACCCGCGACACGTTGCGCGGCATCCAGTTGCCCAGCCACCGCACCAACCGTGCAGTCAAACACCCACATATTAATATTTATTAGAAATCGTTCAATTAAAAAAAACATCAACGTCATGTATTTATTTCCCTGAGAAAATACAAGGGAAACAGATGGGGAGATCGCAATTCCTTCAAACAATTCAATCATAGGTTTGATTCCTCTTCGTTTTTGCTTACCCCGGCCTTATAAGTGATGGGTAACACCTTCTATTCACAATTACGTTCCCACCATTGATGGCAAATTGTGGGTTTCCCATGGAGTCAATGATTCGGCCCTACAAGCGAGATGTTATAAGGTTGTTGATCTATGTGTTTATTTGTTTTGTACCTTTTTTCGTTAATGAATGAACTTAATATACTTACCTAGTGAGAAATGTGTTGATTATTGTACAGCTAAGTCGTTGAGTTTTGTTTATTTGTTTTTGCATTTGGGTTTATTTAGATAGTGTCATAACTGCTAAATGGACGAAGTGAGTAATCTTGCCATTATTGTGATAAAAGAAAAAGATTTTTGCTACTTACCCCTCTGTGAACGTTTCTATAGATCTTTTCGAAATTCTAACCGCCCCATTAGTGCCGAAGCAAAGATATCCCACACTTAAACTTAACTTAAGCCGGGGTTGCGGGGTAAGCGCAATGAGGCACCGCGACCTCGGCACAGATCAGGAGAAGGAACAGGGGGGTTTTTAGTCAGTAAGAGTCTGACACTCCCACTCGGCCCTGGGCGGGAGAAGTCATTTGATGATTTTCCCATCACAAAAAAAACTCTTAAACTTGGTAGAATTTATGTAGACAGCATTAGATAGATCGCTATTTATCTGTAGTGTGATAAATTTACGTAAATTTTCCTCAAGGTTATTGCTCCAATATGATAAATAGATTTATTATATCTATTGGAACTGAATGATCTTTCTGTTTTTACAGAGAAATTGGCAAAATTTTTGCATACTGACCACGAAGTTGCTAGCAAAATAATAATAAATGTCTGCACATGCGTCTTAAATATTTACATTGTTTAAACTTTACACAACAATAGCAGGAGATTGATAATCTAGGCAAATCTTATGGGAACATGCGTCTAACATGCAATTCTTCGGAAAAACACTCGTTTTCTTGACAGAGCGTTCCCATCGCTGTCTGACTCATTATGCAGATTTGAGTACCTGAATATTAATAAACTATGTGTTAATGATACCTTCGTGCTTCGATGACTTAAGTTCCTTGAGCAGTTATTTTTTTGTCCCTGGAAAATCATCAATGATATCTCCCACTCACGGTAAGGCGAGAGAGAGAGAGAGAGAGTGTGTGTGTCCCGTTCATTTTCCTGCTTTAGGCCGAGGCGGCGTAACCCCGGCTGAACATCAGCCCAGTCTATGATGGCGCGCGCGGAACGCTACGCGACGTATACTCGGGTCTGGTTCTAGTCGGGCAGCAAGCTGCCTTTACTCGCCGTCCGCAAAACCGCGCTTACAGTAGCCGGAGATACCCGACGCCCGGATTGTCGCCTATATGCTCATCTGGGTTGTTCCTTGAGCGTATAGAGTGAATGGTTTTCAAGGGCTAGTAGGGCAAACAATTCGAGGTGTCAACTAGTGTGTAGTTGGAAACTATCGTTTGGTATGTTATTGTGTTTCACGCCGGTTTTCTGTGAGGCCGTGGTATCACTCCGGTCGAGCCGACCGGAGCTGCGTCATGCTTCGTGCCTGAGCATGACTCTCCCACACTTAATATCCGATATAGTGATGACCCCTGAGTTTGTTTCGGCATTTCTTCTCAGAGTAGTCAGATAGGAAATGCCCGATTCAACTAGTTTTTCACATATAAATTGACGTGCAAAAGTGCCGTTTTAAGGCCTATTTGCAAAAATAAATTCATTATTTCATTGTTTCAGTGTAGTTTTGTAGACTAATCCTTATTCTATTTAAACAACAATTTTGTGCTAATAAACCTATTAGCTATATAAACGGCCTACCAATGAGGCAGGTCATTACTATTAATTACCCATTGCTAGCATGATCGGCTGACTGATTTCGTACAATTAAAACTTTTTACACCTACTGACTGACTTGGTCGATGTAGTAAGTGTAAAATATAGAGGTGTTACGGACATTATAAATGAGCGTGGTTTTTTGTTAGATAGTTCTTTATTGCAATTCTGTATCCATTGCTTCATAGTGCCCGTCATAAAGAATACTTAGTATTTAATAATTAAAGCCTAAGGCAATATTTGAAGGAATTATCTGGGGCATAGTTTGAGCAATCCAGATTAAAACATAGATATTTTTATAACCAATCACAATACACATGACATCATCAGCTTATGAGTGCCCACTACCGAGCAAAGGCCTCTTCTCACACTGGGAAGATTTGAGTATTAATCAGCACGCTTGTTTAAGACGGATTGGTGATTTCAAACTTATAATTAGATATTATAAAGTCCAGGTTTCCTCACGATGTTTTCCTTCACCGTTTTTCAGTGGTGTTTACTTGTCTAAATACATTATGAAAGTATATACAAACTTAAAAAAGTCTCATTGGTAATTGCTAGGTATTGAACCCTCATGCATGATAGGCGGGAGCTATAACCTTCGGGACACCTCGACCAATAATACTTGACCATTATACATGTGTATGTATTGTTTAAGTAGCTGTTATCCATTTTGATTTATCAAACTGAATTGCGGTTAAACTTCCATTAAGTCAAGCCAATCAAGATAAATGCTTGGTACAAACTATAGGTAAGTAGGTATATACTTAGGTAGATTCCAATAAAAAACTGCGCCGTAAATAATTAACGGATTGAGGAACAAATAGTTTTGAAGATTTGGTTATGATGATGAGCAAAGGTGTTGACGATACAAATCAAACACGCCTAATTCGTGTTGTTATTTTAATGAGGTTTAATCTATGTACCTTGAGTATTAAATAATAAACAAATATTTAATTAGGTGCTAATGAAGTTAACTCACGTTCAAGTATCACTTACTTAATTAGTTTTTCCGTCGACAGTTTTCTACGTGAACCAAAATATAAAAACCTTTAAAATAGCTCTGTTAACTGATAAAAATTGAATCATATTCCGTCCAGCCGCGATCTCGAGTAAGGGTAGCTCGCCGCCCGACCAGATCCAGACCCGAGCGTACGGCGCGCGCCTCAAAGAGCCAATAGACCACCACAGACGGGGCCTTATAGGCCTGATGTTCAGCCGGGGTTGCAGGATAAGCGGAATGAGCCACCGCGACCTCGGCCCAAAGCAGGAGAAGGAACGGTTTTTAGTCAGTAAGAATCTGACACTCCGTGTCCATTTTTTGTCCGTCACAGACTGACAAAAAATTGAAATTTGTTTAACGAGTTAGGACGAAACTAACTTCAACTACTTCTAGAAAAATCGTACCTAAAATTCCACCGATCTCTCTCATTAATTGTCTTATGTGTTATTAGTTATTTGTATAACCCAGTTTGCGTGTAGACACAGATTGACTTAACCTTGACCAATCTATGACATGACCATATACATAGGTGCGGATATTTATTATGTTGTACTAATATTGTGACTTTATTTTCATATTTAACACAATGTAAGGTACTTTCTCACACCACAAGCGCGTCCCTTATTTTAATCTACCAATCGTGGCAATTTGCTGAATTAGAGAACTTAAAAAGACCGTATAATTCCGTATCCATGTAAAATATCTTTTTTGGTTGATATGCTAATTTATCTCTTTCATCTCTTTCAGATCACCGCCTCTACTGACAACTTGAAGAAAACTGTCATCTCATTCTTTTGAGAAGATGTAGTGTTTCATATTCATCTTTCTGAAGAACTATTACATCCAGGGATCCAGTCCAAAACCATGCTAACAAAAAGAGAGCACAAAGAACAATTATGATCAGACATCGAAAGTTCTAGAGGAATTCAAAGTTTTTTTACAATTATGAGAATTCTAGAAAGTTCTAAAAGAAAACGAAGTTGTATAGGAATGTTCTAGAAGACTTAGTTCAAGATGTCGACGAGTAATGAGCTGAGCGACTTGGAGACGCCGAAGCTTCGTATGAAGCCGGCCGTCAGTAGGATATTCTGCTGCAGTGTTACCGCTGCTTCTGGTTTTGTTGCAGCATATGCTTTGGTGAGTAAACCTTTTAATGAAGATTACTCCTCTATAAAGAGTTTGACTTGATAAGGAACGAAGATATTTCTAATGATACGGTAGTTTCCAACTAAATTTTCAATACAAATGTACTGCACGGTTGGTGCGGTGGCTGGGCAACTGGCTGCCGTGCAACGTGTCGCGGGTTCGATTCCCGCGCGGAACAACACTTTGTGTGATCCACAAATTGTTGTTTCGGGTCTGGGTGTCATGTGTACGTGACATTGTATGTTTGTAAACGCACCCATAACACAGGAGAAAATCCTAAAGTGGGGCAACGTTTTTTTTTTAAAAAAAAAAAAAAAAAAAAAAATGTCAAAAACGATACTTTTTTATGAAATTTTGAAACTCCAAATAATATTTTTGCGTCAAATAGCTTACTTATTTCTTTAACATAAGCTAAAAAATACCGTTTCATTTTGTGTATCGACCGTCGATGAATAAAAGTATAGTAATAACTTATTACGAGGCCGACTCTGCAGTACCTTATTACTAATAAAGGTAAAAATAACTAAAGGTACTGCCGAGTCGGCCTAGAATATGAGAAGGAACAGGGTTGTGGGTTATTCAGTAAGAGCCGGATGCTCCCGTGCCTCATCCTGCGCGAGAGAAGTCATCTGATGTTTTTTCCTCACATAAAAGGGAGCCCTACCGACCTACTCGTAGACACTACTATTTTATGCTTGGTTTTAAGGTGTTCCTCAGGGCTCTATCTTTAATGAACATTATAGAACTATTATATTCTTTAAAAGGTTTTTTACTAGCCTTCGTTTCGTTTATTAACACATCACTGATGTAATCTTCTTGTCATGCGGTTTCCGCTCAAAGGAACTGACGTGCGGTTATTAGCGATTAAACTGCATAGAGATCTACGATATGTGTTTTAATTATATGTGTACTTAAAGTGTGTCAATGGTTTTGGAGTCTTTACTCAGTTATGGGTCATAAAACATGTGCTCACTTGGCACGCATAAATCATAATTTCTTGAAATCAAAATTGAATTTCAAATCAAGTTCAAATTTTCCACTTGAAAACTGCGGTTCACCGCATCAAAGGTCAAAAAAGAATTCAAAGCTCACAATACGAATTCCCAATCTTGACATTGAAGTATTATTCGACAAACCACACGAAACAACGACAAACCCGTTCGCTTATTTAAAATTCACTCGACATCGCACGAAGGAAGTAAAGACCGAGCAGCCCATTAAAGTTTGACCCTTCACCACGTCATATAGGTCGGAGACTACGTGTGTTTGTATGCAAAGCTCGGTCTAGTTATACTGGTTATTTATAAGGCCATGCATTTATCTTGACGACGCAATAGTGAGAGTAAGCTTGCTGGGATCGAGACTAGTCTTGTGTTGTGTCATTGTTGTGATGGATTTGAAAAGTTGTTACTGGCCAGTGCAGGAAATGATTTTAAAAACAGATACATTCAAATTAATGAGAGGACTTGGTAATGGTTTTAGTCGTTGCAAAACTTTTTAATTAGGACAACTGTAATGAAGTGAATACTAGATACGTAATGTTGAAAGTGAAAAATTGTAAATATATTAATGATTACTTGAATAGAAGCCTTACTATAGAAGCTATAGCGATCAAATTAGGGATTTATTAAGGGAATGCGCTATAAAACCTAATTAATATGATGAAAATAAGGAAACAACAAAATATGGAGAACGTTAATTCGAATATACAGAAAGGTACTGATTATAAACCAGTTTATCAAACCAAGTTACTTCTATAAGTTTTTGCGAGGGACAACATTATGTATCTTTACCTACTCATAGGTAGGTAATGATCGAGAGAAATATCCAACTAACTTTTTATCCTTTTTAATTTCTGCGAATTAATGGTAGGTAAGTTGGCACGTAGGTAACTCCTGGACAAACAAGTTTCGCTGTAGATGAAGTTTAGTGTAAAGTAATGACTTATGACATCGTGATTCTAAAAAGAACATCGAGGTCGCAAAGCACATTTTCTGACCATTAGGTAAATGTACTTATTCTTATCAACAAATTGTTGTTTTGGTGAATCTAATATTTAAATAACTAGTAGGCCAGAATTTTAAAAAGTTTGTGCACTGCACTGCACAACTGACTAAAATTGTAAAGCCCACAGAAATGGAATAACTATGAGGAAGACAGACTGTGGCGAGTCGGTTGTGTCATACGGAACTAATTGTGAATGATCATTAGCCACAGATGGCAAGAGTAGGTTTATGTACACATTACCGCTTACAGCAAGATGTACATAAATTAAATAAGGTAAATGCACCTTATTCCGAGGGGTTCTAAAAATGGCATCATATTCCGATGTATTTAGAAAAACAGTTTTTTAAAGCAATTTACTAGTTATTTATGGTCTGCATGATAAAATAATGAATTAATAATTATCTGTTCATATTTATTTATACAAAGGAGAGTTTAGTATGGTCACACTGTAAAATAATCGGTCATTTTGCCGCGGGGAGCGGCGTCGAAAGCACACTTCATACATTTGGGACCTTATGCACGTGAGTATTACGATTTGCCAAATAGTGTTTTACGTAATAATTTTATACAACGCGAGTTTTCGTTTAGGTTGAAATATTGAAAGGATAATATTTTTTATCGAAAACACTTAAGATTTGAGTATTTTATTTGCAAATTAGCAAGAAAATAAGTGTTTAAAATACCGCGGCATTAGGTGCAAAATATTTTAGTGTGTTCCTAAAAGCCGATGTATACCACGGAAAAACAAATTTAAACATATATTTTGTTTTTTTTTAATTTTGGTGTCTGTTTTATAATTATAAACTTTAATGTGTTAGTTCTGACTTAATGAATAACTCATACATTTAATAATCTATTTCCGAGGTACAACGTGGCGTCGCATTTACTAATTATAGCAGGTCAAAAATTGTTTGTACAGGTACTTTATTAATACGTTGTATAGAAGATTTTAGTGAAGACATTAGGTTTTATAAGTGTTCTGTTATTATATGTATGTACTTTATATTTGTTTTCCTTTCATATTGTAACTATACATTATTTTATTTGCATAATATTAAAAAATCTTTTACTTTTTAGTACTCGGAATTAGAAACTTTGATTTAGCATCATAAAACGCTATTCCGATGTATTTACGTCGGAATAAGGTTACATGAGTACCTAATTCCGATGTATTTACGTCGGAATAAGATTACATGAGAACCTAATTCCGAAGTTAGTTAAGACCCTGTTTAAATACAGAGTGTTCATTATTTTATGTGCTTAGTAGATACGCGTTTAGTAACTGAAAGAATACTAATCATCTATACAAATACATAAAATTGGAGTGTGTGTTTGTAAAAAAAATATAATAAAAATATTTTTTTTACGTTTAGTTTTTTTTAATTGCATGTATTTTATTTATTTTATTATATTAAAGAAAATGACTTTAGAAGACTCTTAAGAATATTCATATTAGGTATTTTCCCTTTTTACCGGTGCTACTACGGGTCATAGCACAGGTAAAAATAATTATTACCTGTGGTACTACTTACATTAACTTACTTGTGTTGTTGTAGGATAATGAACGCAAAAAAGAAATATACGGTCGAGGATCTTGAAAGTGCGCTTATTGCAATTAATAATGGCAGTAGCGTCTATAAGGCTTCCCCAGAATACAACATTCCAGAAACGACATTGAGAGACAAACGTGACCAAAAATATAGTGGCCATATAGCCGGTCGCAAAACGGTACTCTCAAAATCGGAGGAAACAAAAATTGTTGACTGGATCCATTATCTAGGAAAACATGGTTTCCCAGTTTCTAAAGAGCAGTTGAAGCAAGGAATGGCAAAGCTAGTTGAAAATTTAAACCGTCCAAATACTTTCAAAAATGTGATGTGCCATGTATTCCTTTTTTAGATATTATTAATTATGTTATTTTACTACATTGTTGAACTTTAGTTCCTAAGAATTGTTTCTGATCTCGTAATACGATCTAATTTTGATAATGATTATAGCAATTGTTATACTTTTAAGTTTTACATTATTTTTGTAATGATACAATTAGATTTTAATGTCGATTTTGTTAATTCATTTTTAGAAGATTAAAACTAGAATAAACAAAAAAAAGAACTGATTTCATTTAAAAAAAATAAACAAGTTTGGATCTCGTAATAGGCTCTAATTTTGATATGATTATAGCAATTGTTATACTTTTAACTTGTAAGTACAAAAATAATGTAATTATTTTTGTAATGCAACAATTAGATTTTAACGTTGATATTGTTAATTCATTTTTATATTTTTATAAGATTAAGGAATAATATTAATAAAAAACAGGGTTTAAAATAAAACTAGAATAAACAAAAAAAAGAACTGATTTCATATAAAAAATAAAGAAATTTGGATCTCGTAATAGGCTCTAATTTTGATATGATTATAGCAATTGTTATACTTTTAACTTGTAAGTACAAAAATAATAATAATGTAATTATTTTTGTAATGCAACAATTAGATTTTAATGTTGATATTGTTAATTCATTTTTATATTTTTATAAGATTAAGGAATAATATTAATAAAAAACAGGGTTTAGAATAAAACTAGAATAAACAAAAACAGAATTGATTTAAGTAATATAAAAAATAAACAGATTTGACTTTTAAACATCATGTATAATTCTCCCTACATAGTTCCCTTTCTATTTTTATACTCGGAATTAGGAACCAAATGCATCGGTAATACGATTTTTAAATCGGAATAAGGTACCTCGGACTTTTTTATATTTTTATTTATTTTAACAGCTTCAATAACCTTCTACTGACAAACTGCAAATATTTTTCAAAAATTTGATAGCTAACACTTCTGATAAAAATATAAAATTGTACACAAAGGTCCGATAAATACTTAATTTATAATGTTCTTTCGTGTTATGTTAAAAACAGCGCGGAATTAGGTGCCTTTACCTTACATCGTTAAACATATACCGACCTCTTCTAGACAACGAGGACTAAAGAGTCATGATCTTATTGTGTCACTGGAGAGACGAAAACGAAATGATATTTTAGATGGGGTAATTTTTTTGGTTCATCGGTCGTGAGTGTTTTACTGGGAATTCGGTCAATGGAATTCGATTTTTTTTTTTGGTATTACTGCAAGAGCACATGGATTACCTGATGGTAAGCTATCAGCGACGAACCCGCAACAATGGAGGAGTTACAACTGCTTTACCGCCTTTTCGGGTATTAGAGTTTTGGATATTTAGAGATTGGAGGATGGCAAAGATTGGGCCTGCGGTTACCTCATTCACAGTGCGAAACACAACGCTGTGGTTGTTCCACGCCGGTTTTCTGTGAAGCCGGGCCGAACGATTCGTGCGGAAGCATGGCTCTCCCACACTATACATATAGAAAAATTTTGAGACTTAACCAGTACCTACTAAACTATTTTTAAAGCAGGTCTCAAGGTAAAAAATATAAACTCTAAAAGTATTTTTTAGAAAACGGTCTATCTGGCGCAATACCTTAAAGATAAGCAATCCAACCATGCACTCACGCGCCGGACTATCAGCCAATCTGAAACTTACAAATATAAGTTGGTTCCCATAAAGTTTCTCAGGCTGTCCGTGTCAGATTTTAGAATGTAGTAAATGAATTAAATGCTTTAGCTGGCAGGATTTCCGGTGTCATGTTATGGCTCGTGGGGCTGCAATTACACCTACACGGACACCGAGTCGAATTAGTAGGTTTGGTCATTGAACGATCATGTGCGATGTATTTAAGAAAAGTTAAACGATATGGTATGGTTTACTCAAACATTTTAGAATCGTTGAATAATGTATACCTAAAGAGAAGTACGTGTATTTAGGAATGTGTTATTAAGTTATGTCGCAATAGATCAAAAACAAACTCACTTTGTCTTCATTTGTTTTCCATCGCTCTAGGAGACTACAATTCAGAAGAGGTATGACTCTCCCAAGATTTAACAGGTTTCTATAGACATGTATATGAGCAGGTATAAAGACAAGTGATTTTGTTTTCTCCATTCGATGCAATAAAATCCCAAAAACATCCTACACTTTGTTTAAATGTTCTTTTTTCCAACAATCGTTCCTCTATACTAATAATCATCCAAAATGTTCCAGGTGGCGTATGCGATCGCCTTGATATACGAGATAGTATGGGTGGTGGAGTCCCAGAGCGGGCTGCCGTTAGCATCCGCACTGCTGATGGTGTGTTACTGCATCGTCATCGCCGCCACCGTCGTCTTGGTGCACGGACTTATTTCCGTGAGTATTGTAAAGAATGTTTGGTACCAGAAATGAATTCTTGCGTCTAAGGCCTGATTTTTCAAAAGTCAGATAATTTTTTTGGCTGTTAGAGAATGCCCATGACATTAAGCCCACCTTTGTTTTTTTGTGCATAAAGTTATAAAATAAATAAATAAATTTTATCTGAAGAATAAAATTGTTGGTGCCACTGTCTTATTCAAATATACTGACGCGAAAGCGTCATAATTATTCCCCAGGTGACTATTATCTAACCATTGAAAAATCAGTCCTAAAAGTTACTTTTGGATGTCTATAGAATACTATAAAAATATGTTAACTTTGACATTTACGAAGTTTTTTTGGATTTGTCAAAAGCTTTAGCAAGCGCAATCAATGTTAATGTCCAGAAGGAGACATTTGAGCAGATTCCAAAGAGGATTAATAAAATAAACTAATTATGTATTTGAAAAAATATGACTATATAACCCTAGATATTATTATAAGATAGTTTCCATTTCAATTGTCCTGTTGACAATTACTTTCCGATAGTAGATCAATCGCAAAGAAACTAGACTAAAAAAGATAACCGTTGTACTCAGAGCCATTTAATGGTTACTTAACCTAGCCTTTAGTGACTGTGGTCGAAACGGAAAACATAGTCGAATGTAAAATATCTATATTGAATAAAGATACACTGTAATTTAATAAAAGATTGTTACATTAAATTCTTCAGGTAACTCCTAAATACGAATGTGATAAATTTTGCGATAACACTGCCAATTGCAGTCTTCTCGTTGTGTTATTCAATTATTCTATCTAAATGTATACATTTAACAATTTTAATTTATATTATTTTGCAGAAAAACAACAGATGCCTGCTGGCTTGGTTGATAGCAGTCATACTAGTTCTCATACCAGAATGCGCTCTAGTCTTTTACATGTCTATTAGTCATTGGGTAAGTTGTTTCATTTTTTAATGTATTTCAAGCGTATTTTATCGGAATAGCCTTCATATTATTTTTGCATTTATGTACTTTATTTATCTTTCTATATATTTCGGGTGGTAGATAGTATTTCAGCTTCATCAATTTTTTTACGAACATAAAATTAGGTACGCAAAACTAAATTCATTGTTTCTTTGTAGTCTGGTGTTTCTTTCTATCCTTTATTTATCTAATTCTTCTTCCGTATCCACTACACTTCTACTCTTCTGTTTATGGCAACTTTCTTTGCCCTTACTCTAAAGAGACCACACCTTACTCTTAATACGAATATTTTTTTAAATGTTGGAAATGTTCCGATAGTGCTTTCTGTTTTTTTTTTTATTTTAAATAAAATCAATTATCTTGACAAGTGTTTTTCTTACAATTTTGTTTTTATTTCTAGGGTCTACAAGGAGTGTACGGCGGCGCCGAGTTGGCGTGTTACGTGGCCCGTCTGCCAGCCATTGTGTGTGGAGTCGTGCTCGTACAATCAGCGTATGCACTTAGGGAGGCTAGGTTAGTAACTTCAGGTCCAAACAATCCCTAGTTACCACTGTTCGAGTATTTGACTAGAAGATTGATTTATAGTTAGGTATCATCTAAGAAGTATCATTATTACTGCTATGGATACTATGAACACAGTTCGTTACTAAGTTTCTATGACACTGCCTTATCATTTTTCCAAAATCATCCTTATTAATGTCATCATTATAAGCTACCAAATTTTAATACAATAATTAAACCTACAGTACGGCCGCCGTATCATAGCGAGTCTGAAGTTAGCCGTTTGTCTGCGCAATGGATCTTTTATGAACAAAATTGTGTACTGCGCAGCTAATCGGCTAACTTCAGACTCGCCAAGATACGTCGGCGGTATTGTATCTATGTTCAATATTGCCAGTCGCATTGTAATAAGAACTACTAAATTCGCACAAAAATCCCCTTGTTATGAACTTAAGAACTCAAAAACAAATCCTACTATTCCAACTAATATTATTAAAGTGAAAGTTTGTGAGAATGTATGGTTGTATATTTGTTATTCCTTCACGCAAAAACGACTGGACCGATTTATTTGCAATTTGGTATGTGGCTAGGTGATACCATGAATTAACACTTAGGTACTACGCGCCAATCTTACATAATTTATTTTGTATTTTCCAGGAAAGCCGGTTACAACGCAGGCGGGGCGGTGAGTGGGAGCGAGTTTGACGCGAGTCACTTCGTGCCCGACGCGCCTAATGCTTTCACCAATGATGGCTTCCTGCAAGACAACGGTAATGCGGATCTAAATTATGGATTCGATTTAAATTCATATGCTTCTAATAAATCTAAACTGACTATTCGGTTACTTAAATACAGTTAGGAATATAGGCAACTAATTCGACAAGAGAAGTCTCACATGGTTAGTTAAGCATGCGTAAAAAACAATACAATCTATTCTTGAGACAATTCAGTTCGGCAAGAAGATGTATTGCGACCTCCAACGACTTATATATTAGTAGAGAGTAGAGTAACAAAATTATCCTTTGTAATAAATCACTCAATTTGCAGGTAAATCTGGATCAATGCCAGATCTCCGTCGTCACCTGGCGAGCCGTCAGTCCATGAACCTCGGCTACCCACCGCACATGTTACCACAACCCCCACCGGCGTACTGGCAACACCTTGCTGACAGACAATACGCTGCCAGTCTCCGGGGCTACCCCAAGTCCTACCAAGCTCCGCAAATATACGGAACATGGGTTGGGCCCAGGTCGGGTCCCTACGACAACCCATATAAACGAAGACATTCCATAGTTGGTGCGTTCCAAACTGACGAATACCCACCAAAAGGCTACGATTACGACGACAGAATGGATTGTAAGAGTGAGATAGCCTATCCCTACTATAGGTCTTACCCCTACGATCCAAGAGTTTACCCGCCCGATTACGACCCAAGATTTTACCCCGAATATAAAAGGGAGGATGCGGCGTATGGTGTTAATTTGCTAAGACATGAACCGTATCATTTTAGCGGGTCTAGAGAGCGAGTGTTCTATAGTATGAGAAATAGTCACACGTCTGTAGGTAACGAATCGGATGATCTGACTAAATATAAGGATGTTGCTTTGTAAGAATGTATATTTTTAACATAGATTGATTATGATAATTGAAAGGAAGACGCAAGAAAACTTCTCGATATAGGATCATTTACGTTCGTGAACTACACGTCTATGGAAACGCAGACATTAGTTTCGTACATATCTCGTCTCTCGGTCTAGGGTTAAAAATAGTCTAGGTATACCATACTTCAAAAAAGGACGAGCTTGTTAAAAAACAAATCAGTGCTATGAACGAAAACGTGCAACATCAAGCAATCTATTACTTTAATAAGCTCAAAGTTTGGAAGTGCCACTGTGTAGGTACCCATATTCTAAACCATCGTGAGGTTTTCTCTTTATACGAATTTGTGACTAAGTAATCCCTTATGTGTTTTTAAAGAAATGCATAAGATTATTTGAATAGTATAACATTAAGATACACGCAAGTAGGTAAGATACTTTTTAGGGCCTGTTTTGTCAATGATGATAAAGTTTCTGTTAGCTGTGCTAACATACAATTTTGACATTGTTTTTAGGAACATTTGTTAGTTAATTTTATTCAAACTTGTGGTGGAAACCTTGAGAATCGTGGTCTGTTTAGAACTGATATGTTTGAAATTGTCAGAGATATCCTTATATGTCGTATCGTATTGCACGTCGCTAAGTGTATGAAAACGTTTTGGTACTTCACATCACGCCACGAGAGGTAAATTTCCCGCCTTAGATCAACAGACATAGTGTAGGGGGTCATTGGTCATTCCCGTTCGTCCACTCCCGTCGTCTACAATGTGGACAACTGAGAATCCTTTTTGTGGGGGTAAATCATGAAATGACTTCTCCCGGGTCTGTGGTATTTCATTTGAACACAATTAAAAAGTATCACGTATGTATTTTAGGGTGTGGACGAACGGGAATGACTCAGTGTAGAGTATCTACAGTAAAACAGCCCCTTAAAATTATATTTAGTTATACTTAATAAGAATTTATTTTTATAAAATGTTATAAGTACTGTAGAAGATGAATAATTGTACCTACTTAAGTAATAAGTTAATTAAGTTTATAGGTACTGTTTATAGCTAGTTTAGTTACCTAATTAACCAAAGGTATTATACTGTTTGTTCTAAGTAGATATAACTGTATCTCTAATTATGTAAACCAAGATGAAATCAGTCACTATGTTTTATAAAAATACAATGAATAAAAGGAATTTATAATATAATGTGTATTTTTTTCGTCCTTGGATTGGGTTCTTACCAACATAACAACTGAGTGAAAATCAAATACTTTTTTCAAATTAGACAGCTCTCTGTAAGTTTTGTACATGGAGGAAAGAAAAGTATTCTATGGTCTAAGGTTTTGTACGAGATCGTGTGTTATGACGTCATTTTGTGCGTCAAAGAACTGAGGTGCTTACCTATTTCTTGAATGCTAGCTAGAAAACAAGAACATTAAAGTATTCATTGGAGCACACGGTGGCGATGTAACTGATCTTGGGCTGATCACCGTCGCTCGTGTCCTCGGGTCAGTAATTGGCCAATCACTGAACCCCGCGCCCGGCCTTCGCCGACGACGACATGGTGTGGAGCGAGAGAAACTGGAAAGCCGGCTCCTCTTTCTGTGAGAAGTCTGTTTAAAGATAAAGGCGAACCGCGTGAGGGAGCTATCCTCCTCACGCCCCAGCTGCCGCAGTAGGTGACAATCCGGGCGTCGGGGATTGAGATGACCAGAATCAGACCTGTGCGTACGGCGCGGCTCAAAGAGCCAATAGACCACCACAGACGGGGCCCTAAAGAGCTGATGTTTAGCCAGGGTTGCGGGGTAAGCCCAATAGGGCACCGCGGCCTCGGCCTAGAGCAGGAGAAGGAACGGGGGGGGTTTTTAAGAGTCTAACACTTTCTTCCCCCTCACCACGGACGGGAGAAGTCATTAGATGATTTTCGGTCTGGTTCTGGTAGGGCGGTGAGGTACGCTTACTCGCTCTCCACAGACCCGCCCTTGTGGTGGCTGGATCATCTCTCGATCTCCGACGCCCGAGTGTCGCCGAGGAGGAGACCTCTTCTCCTCTCGCCATACCCTGGAGCGAGAGAAATTATTTTATATGATGATTTTCCCTCCACTAAAAAGCTAAAAAGTGACGGCAAAGTAGAGTACTTACCTATTTCAATTTGACACCATCACCACCCAGACGCATTTGATGAAGATTGGGCACCAGTGCTCTCTGATACCTAATCATAAACTTTATAAACTGCGACTTTCAACCTACCAGCCAAGCGCGGAGATATGTAATAGGTAAAGATTATTGGACATAAAAAAAGTATTCTTCTACGACTTAAGGTTAGTCAAGCAGTCATAATTGCGATTGTCGTGTTCAGTCTCGAGTTTGGTTTGAAATAGGTAAAGGACTTCTAGATTTATAATTTTATTTGTAGATACCTACATATTTGTTTCTGGCTTATGGCGGCATACAAGCAGACTTCTCACCGGATGGTAAAATGTCGCAGTCATCTATTGACATCCGCAACACCAGAAGAGTTACAAGTTCATTGTGGCATTGTGGCATTCGGGATTAAGTATTAGGAATGGCGAATGGAGTTCCGGTAACATCACTAATACAACAAATAAAACTTCTAGCCACGCTTCTAGCATTGTTTGACGCCACTTTTCTATAAGGCAAATATAGCTGTAGTCGAGTCTATGAAAAGACTCGCAATTTACGCTCTGTTATGAAGAATCTGCCCGTAAATCTTCCTTACTAGTCATTAAAATATTTCAAAGATAAGCCATCTAAAACTGTATACATAATAACTAGGTATCCCTATTTTATATACGCCTAAACAGCTTATACCCTTCTGATCCAAATCTATGGCTAGCACCAAGTTTAAAGCAAATATGTTTATTACAGAGACTAATAAATATTTTTATTATTTAAATTTTCCTCTTATATTTTCTAAATTAAAACTTTTCTTGTCATAAATAAAAGTAATTTCATTTGATTTGAACAGAAAAAACTAAACGTAGCAATGTTTCAGTGTTGCTATAACTAAAGTTCCTAAAATACACCCGTAGCATTCCACTGTGTAAAATAAAAGCCGAACCCTATTTGTATAGTTTATTAGTAATTCTTAATAAATTGAATAATGCTACAATTATCATTGTGAAAAATAGAATATTTTATCCATACAGACGGTATTCAAAGTCAAAGTCAAAGTCAAAATTATTTATTTCAATTAGACCCATACAGGCACTTTTGAACGTCAACACAACTTTAAAGATACAAAGTGTCAGTCTGTCGGTCAGTCCTTTTAGTGAAGCTATTCGCTCGTTCCAAAGGTATTGCTTTAGTAGTACATTAGTACTATGAAGTAAGACTGTCATTTCAGTTCGTATTTAAATATTTTAGCCCTATTGTGTAAATGTCTATAATATGTGAAAATCTAAATAATATTAAAATATAATAGATGCTGATTTAAATTCAAGTTACATTTTCAACCAATATAGGGTAAGTATATTTACACTGGTATCATTATAATGTTGTTTTCCAGCTGTACGAAACTGATAACTTGGAATGAATGATATACAGTACTAAACCTTAAGTCTATTGGATAAGGTGCACCGTTTCTCCAATTATGACACAGGATGTTTCAAATGACACTGTGTTGTCAAACAGGTTCCAAACAACGGGGCCGGCTTGCGTTGCGTATCGTGCTGTCTCTGTCTATCAGTCAAAAATTCAAGAGTTAAGTTGTCGACACGGCTAAAGTTTTAAAGTTTTTACGCTACTTCAAAAGTTAGTTTTTGCATATAATCTTGAGTTTGGAGTTTATTATGCATCATAATAAAGTGGATAAATGTTAAGTTATCAATGTGAAGTTTGTTTTTGTGATATATGAGGACTGTGTAACTGTTTATTGTTTCATGTAGGTGGCTACCTACTATTGTAGTTGGGCCCAATGTGAAAGTGTTTTGGCATAAAATTCAGATCCCATTGTTTTATCTTTCCGGGTATACGTTGGGAAAAACATTAATAAGTGTGACCTGCGTAAGACGTCGCTTAATATTGGTGAAATGTGTGTTACTACGGTGTTTAACTTCGATTAAGTACTGAATAACTATTTGGTAAGTTCGAACGTGACATTCTTTTGAAACATGGTCTAAATACTATAAACATTTCGCTAAATTATTCTGAGACCTACGTCTAGCGGTTTCATACGTGTTAAAACTCTCAAAAGGCTAACTCCAGTTTTTTTTCGACATGCTAATAAGACTTTTTGTTAATGCCACCTCTTTTCAGTGTCATTAAAACTTGTCAATCAATGTATTATCTATGCTAAATCATTATTATCAGCTGGAATTTGGTATGGTCACATAAAAGTTATACATAATAGCTTTTAAATGTATTTGTGTCATCAAATTAATAACTTGTTGCATAAAGGGCAATAAATAATAAGTGAAATTAATTAAACAATAATAGTAAAAATTTTTTTGTACTTAATTTTACTTTAATTTATTTCCAATTTTCCATTATCCAAATTCTATTAATTTAGTTTTTATGCTTCTTTTCATTGTTCTTTAAAGAGCAACGAAGGACTTGCTTGTTCTCCATGTAAATCTACACTTCGGAATAAGCACTTAGCTTCACTGACAAACAATTTGATTAAAGGCTTTTAAATTATATTTTTTTTATTAAACATTGCATAATTTATTGCAATAGAATTTAACATTCCAATGTAAAAATCGGTCACATGCGTATGATGTAATACCAAAGAGGTTTGGTATGAGAAGGTTGATTTACTTAGTTAGATATTCAATTGATTTAAAAGGTAAAGCCCTATAATTATGTGTCAGAAGAAAATTCCGGTCTTAAAGACAGTTTGATCAGTTGTTTTCAGAACATATTAATAAAGTCTATTAGCTAAGAGCCTCAACCAACACCTTAAGAGGCTCTCGTTAAGTGGCCGGGTCAAGGGCCTAATTCAGGAAATTGGTACTCCTGGACACGGCTTGTATTGTCAGGAGGTTTCTTTCTCTGGAACCTTGACCGTCGGTAGTAAAAAGTATGAGATCTACTCAAGACAAAACTAAAATATTTGGCTATATTTTTTGGAGGCAGAAATATAGATAACTAGCTACTCTCACACGGTTTTACTCGCTGCTCGGCTCCTTCTGACTGTAGTGTGATGTTTTATAGCATATCGTATTTGGGAACATTGTAGCTATCTATCAGTGAAATTTTGGCAATCTGACCAGCAGTTCCAGAGATGACCCCCTACTGTACATAAACCCTTAAAAATTTTACCTCTTTATAATATTAGTATAAATATATCTGCAACATAAATAGACTAAACTTCATCAATTTTAAAAGCTAATTACAGTTTGTTAGGCTACTAGCATACAGTCATTTCCAAACACAATAGTGTTTATAAGAATTATGAATTTGGCTGCTCGCCAAATGTGAGTTCTTGTGTTTGATAAATTCAATAAACAATTTGCTAATAAACGATTAGCTATTATAATAGTGTTCATCAATTTAGCTTATAAAATAAACATGAATGTTTGAAAGTATGAATGGATGGATATTTATCACTTATTAATGTAAAAACTACTATATATAGAGAGAATAGATTTTGATGAATATTGGTATAGAGTTAGATTATAGTTTGAAATAACATATCTTGCTTTTTATCCCTGTATCCCTGTAATTTGGGTGAAGCATCTAGCCGAAGGTAATAGAGTTACATTGAAAACAGAAGAAATCCATTGAAACCATCGATCACTAATAAAGAACTAGATACACAATCCCATACAAAAGTTCGCTTCAAAACTGTCGCCAACTGTATTTAGGTACTTATACTTGAAATAAAAATGCATTAATGTAAATTAAACCTTAAATGCAACTCATAGAGTTGTTTTTACAAAGTGATGTACAAAATCTTAATACTTTTTGCGACCGAAGCTCTTGACAAACCCAAATCATAAGAAATTGAACCATATTCGCATGTTTTTAAGTCGAATTTACAAAGTGTCAAAAATAAGCAATAAAATTTAACGACTTCGGCTCACCGCTAGGACAAAGAATGATTGGAGTCGAAATGTCTCGTAAGAAATATATTTCTTTCGTATTTTATAATTTATCAAAAAAAGAAAATACGCAAATTAAAACGCATTACTTATAGTATTCTTTTCTATAGGTTTGTTCATTTATTTACCAATGAAACTAATGCATATAGTTATAATTCTTTTTTATTATTTTCGTCCTCCTTAATCCTTTCTATTCGAAGTCAAATAAAAAAGATGTAAAATAATAAAAAGAATATATATCTAAAGTAAGTACTGAAAATGTTGGCGTTATTGTTGTCAATTTTTCATATGATTTTTCATATGATTTGATGAAAGTTAAAAAAAAAATTTCTTTACTGCAGTTAAAATTAAATCCATTACATCTGCCTATTCCATATTTTAATAAACACAGTAAAGAAGTATAATATTAAATAAAAACTATTTTTTAATAAAAAAAACAATAAATAAAATTAGAAACAATAGCGTCTCCACTAAACGGAACAGAATAAATCCACGTAAACCGAACAACTTAAGTGGTCATGCTAGAGAATGATTTTAAGTTTAGTATAAGTGTCTTTATAAACTGTGTGCATTATAACCCCGGTTTTTGAATACGATTTCATTTGGAAAAAGTTTTAAAGTTGATTTCTTAATAAAATATCAATATTTAAAATAGAATGATGACAATTATATAATGATAATATTATTACTTAACGAAAATATGAAATTCCATCCTTTTTTGCATCTTAGATGTGTGTGTTTTTGCAGTTTTTTAACGAGCACTGAGGCGTGTTTACCGTCGGAGCATTCGAGTGGTACTAAACTAAAACTACACCGCGATGTTGAGTTTGGTGGACTTTCAGTTAGGACATTTTTTTGTCACCGATTGTGTATCTAGTTCTTTATTAGTGATCGATGATTGAAACTTAAAAAATGGAATTATCTTTACTAATTTTATAAGGAGGTATTTGTAAGCTTGTAGGTAGGGCCTAATATTTGGAACCACTGATTGGATTTCCAAAATTCTTTTACTGATAGGTAGTTACAATGTTTTTCAGTAAAAACATTGTAACTACTACAGAGAGTAGCTAATATTCTTATATTTTTTAAGTATTTAACTCTTAATGATTAGTTATTGAAGTTATTTGACTGGGTATTTTTAGTCTGAGTGCTCAATGTATTAATTAAATAAAGTTATCTTCACCTTAGACTGTGTTTTGCGTTATTGTCTTATTGATTAATTATTATTATTTTCAGCATGGAAGCTACAGCAGCTACGATGAATTTGCAACCCATAAAGAATATATTTTCTTCAGGTAACATTTTTTTCTACTATTTATAAGGATGAATATTAATGAAAGCAATGATCTATTGCAACAACCTATGTTTCCTATGTTTCGTAAGAAGTTACAATTGGATCACATATTTTTTATGAAAAAAGTTTTCATATTTGTATTTTTGGTTCTAACCCAAACAACTTTGAAAGAAGAAAGAAACAAGGAGGCATTCAACTCAGGATTTTTATTTTAAATCCTAATGTACTGGTGTCTTGTATCTTAATATTTAGTGCATGAAGTAATTTCGTAGGTAACTGTCCCACCTCAAAACAAATGTCGTAACTATAACTTACTTACAATATACATATTACTGACGATAACTAGGTAATGAAAACTACATTTTTCTTTAGCATTTGTTCGTGTGGTACTTATCTACAAGCTACTGCAAGAAAAATATCAACAATGTTAGTGCAACATGCAGTGTAATATACACCTTAACAAAAACTTCAATTCTCAAACAAGTCCCACCATTGAGAACAGTACACACGCGGCCATGTGAACAAGACAATACAAAAATATATCAGTCAACTTTAAACAATTATAACTTGTCATTATCAACCAGCTATGCACTGTCTAACGACAACCATACACATCGTAAACTAATTACTTTTTGAACCACACAATTTTAACTGATAATTTAAATAAATATTGAGTTGAAAATCGTATGTCAATTGGGACGTGGGTAGCAAAATAAAAAGAGGTATTCGGAGAATCTTATTCTAGTTACAATGAGTGTTTCGTAAGTGTAACATAGTTTGTGTTTCTTTAAAATCTCACGTTATTGCGAGATTTCCTTGTCTTTGGACCGCTGTTGTATGCGCGGGAATTTTAGGTTTTAGTTTTTGATTGACTTTTTTTTAGATTACTTGATGGTTAGCTATCAGCGCCGCCCATGGACCCCCGCAACAGAGGAGTTCCGAATACGTTGCCAATCTTTTGGGGATTACGGATTTGGAGATTAAGGGATTGGGGAAGGGGAAGGATTGGACTTCCGGTAACCTCACTCACACGGCGAAACACAACGCTGTGGTTGTTTCACGCCGGTTTTCTGTGAGGCCGTGGTATCACTCCGGTCGAGCCGACCCATTTGTGCCGAAGCATGGCTTCCCACACTTGAAAACTACTCACTATCTCGAACTACTACTATCTCAACTACCTTCTAGACTTTCTTGAACTCGAAGACTATTTGTCACAAACGTTTCTTTTAGTTTAGTAATAATACATATCTCACTCAATACATATACATTTACTATCTAAGGTGGAAAAATTAGTTTTGCAAATTGCTACTTTACTTACTGTTTTTTGAGAAGAGTTGTTTGCGCATTTTCACTTCAGCTTTAAACTACCTAAGTACCTAAGTCAAAACTTAAAGATAATACAATACAAGTTCGGCGTGCGTAACAAGCAAAGATTTGTATGTAAAAGAGTTTCTGCGATAGGTACTTACCTATTATTAATTTCCATTGTGTAGTTAAAAATGCATTAACTATATCTGTCCGTTGTTGAAAAAAAAACTAGATTTTCTGGAGGACGGATCTAGTTGGCTACCAATCTGTCCCGCCAGTAGGTAGAAGTCGATTTACTGATGACAGGTATGGGTCTGATGATAATGTTAAATTGTACATGGTTGTAAACGCATTCACGATACAGGAGAAAATCCTAGTGTGACCAGCATACAAAAATATTTAGGGATTACAGTTGGGTGCGTTTCGTTAACCTCGATCACACGGCAAAACCAACGCGAGCGTAGTTTCACGCGGGTTTTGCTATGTGGTCGTGGTACTTCTCTTATACCTACTTAAAATCAATTCGCACTCCAAAGTTCCTGTCTTCTTCAAACCATGATCATATGCGTTTAATTATTATAAAAACACTCTTAGTTTTTTACTTCAAAACATACATTTTGCTTTTGTTCATTCGTTTAAAGCAGTTGACCTGTAAACAGTTTGCCCCAAGCAAGTAAACTAATTAGTCTCTATCTACGAAGTACTTTCTATGATTTTTAAACACCACTAACATACGGTGAAAGAAACATGGACTGATAATTTCTAATTATTATAATTTTGAAATCGCTAATCCGCCTTGAGCAAGCGTGGTGATTAATGCTTAAGCCTTTTCCGTGTGTGAAGAGCTGTAGGCACTAATTTCCAAGCTAATTTCTCAATTGATATTTACCATTTTATCATTCTGCATGCCCATATGATGCTACAGAGAACAAAAACTACGCCGAAGCCAAAAATAAATTGAATATGAAGTCTCTTTTGATTTGAGTTTCATTAAAGAGTTTCATGGGAGTCCCGAGGGGAGATTGAAAATATGTTGCAATCGAGAATCTTTTGAAAGTGAATTTGTTAAATGTTATATTTATTTTTCATCGATGACCGTTTTTACAAAGTTATGAAAATAAGTGTAGTCCAGCACAAGTTACTCAATCGACTGAGGTGTTGAATACTTTAGCCTTAGCCACAGACTACTCTTTACTCTACCAAATAACTTCCTCCGTTTAGTTTTCACATCACGCACACACTTACATACTTCCTGTACACAAAATTATGCGGGGGAACGATGGACAGGCGCAAGCCTCGTGACGTCAAATCACAATTTTATGAACACTCATTGTGCTTTGCGTGTGTGCGAACGTTACGTGTCGGTTTTAGGGAGTCAATTAAGTATGTGTTCGTATGCTCCGTACCTTACTAGAAGGCTTCAGGAGATCGATGTCGCGCCTGCGCCCTCGCCCTCGCCCGTACAAAGGCTAGGCTGCTCCCTAGCAAGCTGGGCCTGTCAAAATAATACACGATTTTCGCGAATTTCGCACGCGAGCCTCACAATATTGTTTGAAAAATTATTTAATTTGAAAATATTAACTAAAAATGTCACTTGGAAATATTAAACGTTCAGTTTTTCCCTAAGTTTCAGTTATTGGTTGCAGTTTTTTTACGTTGCACTATTTATTTTATTTGTTATGTTTAATTTCTGATGTGATGGTGCCTTTTTGTGTTCGACTTTTAATTGAATTAGTGGTGCCGTACAAAAATGTAGCTGGCCCGTTTTTTTCTGTCTAGGTATGTATGGGACTTGTAGCATTCGTTTACTTGTTGCGCTCAATTTTAATGTACGGATTACGTAATGCGACATTATAAACTTTAATGATTCACTGACTGTTATTGTAATATTATACTGTCTGTGAAATGAAAGCGATATTTTTCTACTGCCAACGAATTCTGTAAATAAAACTTATAATTGTCATTATTTATTTTGCAATTACCCATTACAGAGTTAAGTTGTCCCTGTTGGGCGCCACTATTGTAGTCTTTAAGCGATCAATGATTGACTTAAATTATCCTCATATGTTAAAGACTTCTCTTACTCTCTATTCATTAAGAAATTGTAATACATTATTGTATGAATTTATATTCTTATAATAGATCGCGTGTGTGCTACAATACGATACTAAAACACTTGATATTCCCGCGGGTGTGGTTTGTTGAACGTAACAAAAGAATTGTAATTAAAAACAATGAAACATCATCTATAAACGTTTGCAGCCATTCGCCACTCCACGATGCACAGTCAACGATAACCCGAGAACACTAGAATTCAATTATGTTCACTCTCCACGAAATAAAAATGCCTATGACCTTCATTCGGTATAAAGGACCCTTTGCGGGGTTAAACGGTTGTAGTCGACTTTTATTATCGTCTTAACGCGCAATATTTCTTATGAAAAAGGGAGGCTTATCTAACATCACATTAACCTGAATTTAATTTCTAATTGAAGTCTTATAGCCAATTATTTATATCCTTTTAGCCTTCTGAAGTGCCGTTTTTGTCATAAATTGTGGATGTATTCAGAAACATGTCTTATCACAATTATTTTACGCCTTCTCTTTTGACTGTTGACTAAGTTCGTACCTTTTGGATAGCTATAGAATAAGGAGCTTATAAAACAACAGCTGGAAACCATCTAGCAAGAAGTGGACTGAATTCAGACCATTACAAAAGGACTAAAAGAAGATCAATACTAAAATAGTAAAAGAGTCAGAGCAAGTAAGATGCCTCAAAACTATTCACAGTTTGTTGTGTAAAGATACGTTCTTAACAAGTAAAAAGTATCAAACCATATCTGCTTACTAATGTCGTGACGAGAAACAGAACATAATAGAGACAAATTTCAAAGTACATTACTTAAATCCCTAAGCATCAGGGTCACGCTTTGTGTACCAAATGCAGAACGTGCTATTTTTTGTGTCATCATAGTTCTTTTTGAAGTAATTGGAAAGACTTCTACGACTGTTATTGATTGAGAGGGTATTGTCGACAATAATATAAATACATGGATAATCCTTTTGCCATTGTCTCAAACGACGGCATTTGAAGAGCAGTAAACCGATTACAGATATTCGCGAAAGTTATATCCTCACACAAGCAAAGTGCAAACTGTGGAATGTTGCCCGTAGTAATCCCAAAAAGACACAAGCTTCACTTGTCTGCCTTCAAAATGTTAGTAACGCACTTATTACTCCTCAGGTTTTGTAAGTGTTCATGTGAAGCGCTGGTCGCCATCCATCAAGCGGTACCCACATTTTCACAGGTTCCAAGAAGGCTTGACGATCAGCTTTTAGTAATACACATTTATTTGCTGAAGATTAAATTGGATTTCGAGTCCTTAAAGGACTATTATTTATTAAACATCTATCCAGAAGAATGGCATTGGACATACACTGCTAGGCTTTCTTTCTGGTTTTTACAGTCGCAAACTTGTGCTTGAATTAAGAAATTTTATATCAAAATCTTGTAAAAAAGAAGATTTCTCAGACATTTAAAATTAAAAAGATAGTGTCTTCAATACCCATAAGTATGATGTTTCTCAAATACTTGGTATGTGTAAGAAAAATGCTAGGTTATAGGACTCAATGGTTACAAATTCGCCTTGCTTGATTAAACGTGCTTCACGCATTCTGATATGCTATACTGTT